GCTGTCTTCAGGGCTCCCTCTCCCGCAGAGGTGATTCTTACCCAGCTGAACAAATCTATTGAAACGCCCTCAGGGAAAGAAAAAGCCTGCACTGGAACCCTTCTCTAGGACCTACACAAAAACATGTAATCGCCCTGCCCCATATTGGCTTGAAGAGTGGGGAGAGTCATCTGTGTTGGACTCCACTGCTTGTTCCCCAGGCCAGTGGGGAGGGTTGCCCCGATCTTTTTGCCATTTGCCTTGTGGGACAGACCGTGTCACAAGGCAGGCGGGGAGGTGTCCTGGGCCTGTCCCTGATCTGGGACCCCTGCTACAACCAGTGCATGCTTCCTTTCCCTCAGCCCAGACGGGGCGCTTCCCGTGTGGGCCGTCTGGCCCATTGCAATGCCTCTTAGGGCAGGACGATGGTTATGGGCCCCATCCTGGAAGCCACAGCAACAAGTCGTGCTGTTTGGTGCAAGGAGCCCAGCTGCACTGTCAGGATCCGTGCGGGAGCTAGGGCCGCAGAAGCAGACGTTAGGAACCCGGCGTCAGGTGCGACGTAGGCTCCGTAGACAAAGATCAGAGCCATCAAACCGGCTCGTCCTGCCGCCTGGAGCCAGGGCAGCGCGTCATCCCGAAGGGAGGGGAACTAGTGATGCTGGTGGAGCCAGCAAGGAGCAGTCAGAGTGAGAGGCAGCTTAGCCTTCTCCTATCGGTCACATCCCCCTGTGCCTGGCAGGGGAGAGAGCGAGGGTGCCTCTCCCCCCCACCCCCCACTGCCCCCTTCTGGATTGTATGGGGGGTGCCAATAGGGTCCAGAAAAGAGACCCCTGTGCTACAGAGACGCTGGCAGGGAGGGGGGACTTCAGCAGGGGGATGTGAGAGGGGAGAACAGTCCCATGGGAGCGAGATGCATTGACTCACCTCCTCTGCATTAGCCCGTCTGGATCTGGCTGAGGGCTGGGGAATAAGGACAGGAGTCCTGGCGCGGCATCCGGCGGGGGACCAGGCTGCTCTTATGTGGCACAGTTGATTACAGCGGAAGGACACAGCCTCAAAGATATCTCACCATGGGGGTATCGCTAGAGTCCTCTCCAGGATTTCAACCTATGGTGAAATCCCAACCCAGCAGG